ATGGTCACACAGACAGACGCATGGACGGACGGAAGCAAGAACGAATGGACGGACGAATGCTTCGCCCCACTCTCCATCATTCACTCCGTGGATATCCTGCCATTTTTTTTCCCTTCTTGCGCGAGTTATGCTCTGCTTGTGAACAGTGATCATACAACCCGCTAGTATGTGAAGTTCTTGTTTCATACTCTACGGATGCGCTACATTTCTTCTGCACAGGCCTCTAGTGTATTCTCGTGTTATTGAGCCCTCCTCCTGTGGTGGAACAACTCAACCATTGTTTTTCAGAAAATGTGTGTTTTGGGGTGGCTGCGAAAGAACAGTTGCGCGAACGTACTTCATTGTTTCGATTGCCCAGCTGCGCGATATTTCTTCGGACCGCCTACAATAACGCACGCATGGGCGTTGTAGGTTAATTAAATAAATAAATGAATAAATAAATAAAAGAAAGGGAGCTATAAATTACGCAGCCGCCCAAGGAAAGTACTTTTTGTGAAGTTATTTCCCTAACAGTGTCGCCCCAACATGTGACCTTTACGATACAGTGCATTGGCCACGGTTGTGCGTTCAGATGGGCTGCCGTAGCTCTATTTTCCCAGTAGGCGTGCTATGAGGCAGGGATTACGTGTCAGAAGATACCCTCTCTTCCTCCTCTCTCTCGCTCTCTTTCTCTTTCATTCGATAGCGTTTTGCAGCGCTATTTCCCACGTTTTCTCCTCCTCCCTGCCACCTCTCCTTGCCAAGTACTAGTGTTGATAATCTGCTGTAATGCGCGCTATCTAGTATTATTTTAGCTCGTGTGTCGTTCATACTTTGGCGACGTCGGGCTTGCAGCCTGTTGAAGCAAGAACAGAAGTTTACGGTCGTGAATGCATTGCAGATGCACTCCCTAATCAGCAATGCAGCCGGCGGCACAAGATACACGCAGCGGGTGTGACCACGACATAGTGTGGTTTTTTACGCACCGCTCCATACCGTAATTGGGTGGTGCGTTGAACCCGCAGGTGGTGGGTCGCTAAACCTGCGCTTGCTCTCTGCTATATGCTCGATGGACGCCCAATCAATAAGAACGACGCAAGTTTCGAAGGCGTTGTGCGAATGGGCCCCGGAGAGCGTTCCGGAGACCACGCGAATAGCCGCTTGCTACCTCGCCCTTTTGATCGATGGCTCCCTTAATTACGTAAGCTGCCGGGCGCTGTACCGCGACAGTTTGGTTCGTCGGTTTGCAAGCTGCGGCTGACCAGGAGAAAGCTTAGAGGAAGCGAAAAACGCGTGTTTACATAGTAACGGTCGCCACAGAGGGAGAGAAAGGAAGAAAGAAAAAGAAAGGAGAGAGTGATGTACAACATGGACTGGTCGGTGTCTTCGGGCACATAACATGCTTAGCGCAGTATGTCGCGGGATCGTGGTCGATTTGCGCGCCGTTTGCTAGTTGCTTTTTCTTTCTTTTTTCTTGACCCGGCCAAAGGCGAAAACAGACAAGCGGTCAAGGGCCGGAAAATTGTGGTATGGCGTGCTCCAAATGAAAGTCGTGGAACAAGGAGCTAATTCTAAGAATCAGTCAAATAACCAAGCAAGTAAACGAACCAATAAGGAAACAAAAAGTAAGCAGGCAAACAGGCATCCAGAATTCGGTTGATAGGAAAGTGACACCCGGGGAATACGTACGTTTTTTTTTTTTTTGGCGGAGTTAAAATTCCGAACGCTGTCGTTCAGCTCTCGAGCCTTGGACTGTTGTTGAAGACGACGTTAAAAGATTTGGGGGCACGTTAAAGAACCCCAGGTGGTCGAAAGTTCCGAAGCCCTCCACTATATACGGCATCTCTCATAATCACACGGTGATTTTGGGACGTTAAACCCCACAAATCTACCAAGACGACGTTACACAACACTCGGAGCAGCCGTGTGACGTATTCGACTATTAAAAAAAAAAAAGAGTGGCAGTTTGGCTTGTGTTTATGATAAGAAAAAAAATTCTGTGGAAAGATGACGGTGCTGTGGCGTGCTTTAAGCATCGTCGACGTGTGAAAAATTTCGTTCACTTTCTCGGATTGAATGGCGTGATTCAAACTGCACAATCTGACGGCTGAATTCAGCGCAACATCTATGCTATAGAAGAGGGGAGAGGGCAAGCAAAATAACGCTCTATTGCTATTTTATCTGTATTGGAAATTCAACTCAGAACGGACATTAGAAAGAAAATAATGAACCTTAATACACTTATTTGCAAACACTAGCACATGCGGAAGAATGAAAAACAGTTCTGTTCTTCGACCAAAGTAGATAGAACTTTACAAACTGACAGCTATTGATCGATATTCGAAAGTCGCGACTGACTTTTTCATTGTCTTCCAGTGGCCATTCGCCCCAAAGCTTATTGGTGTACACGAAACATGTATACTTTTTTTCTTTCATTGGCGGCCTCCTCTCCAATACTGGTAAGTGGGCTAAAATGTCCTCCGCGACGATGTGGATGTTATGGAGCTCGGCTGTTCGCGGGTTGTATCCCGGCCGGGGTAGTCGCATTTAGACGGAGGCGCAATGGTGGAGACCCGTGCACTGTTCGCTGCCAGTGCACGTCAAAGACCACCAGGTCGTAAAAATTTCCGGAGCCCTCCACCACGCGTCCCTACGTCCCAATACGTGGTTTTGGAACGTAAAACCCCAAATATTATATTAACTTGGCTAGCATATCAAGCGGAGGTCACATATATTTATGAAGCTTTTTGAGCTATATACAGATTGTGGCGGCGCTCTTGAATGTACGTTGGCCAAATGCGTGTTTTTATGGCCGTTTTCAAATAATTGATGCTTTGTTTATCGTAGCCACGTTTCCAGAACATGTTCTAGAACGTGTCTAGAATTGTTCTGCAAACGTGGAGTTGTAGTCTTGTTGATTGATTGATATCTGGGGTTTAACGTCCCAAAACCACCACATGATTATGAGAGACGCCGTAGTGGAGGGCTCCGGAAATTTCGACCACATGGGGTTTCTCAGCGTGCGCCCAAATCTGAGCACACGGGCCTACGACATTTCCGCCTCCATCGGAAATGCAGCCGCCACAGCCGGGATTCGATCCCGCTACCTGCGGGTCATCAGCAGAGTACCTTAGCCACTATAGGCCACCGCGGCGGGGCGAATTGTAGTCTTGTCGAAGATCAATAATTTATAATGTGGCGATCTGATCTTTTATCCAAGTCGCTTGTTGTTTGACATTGCTACATTTCGCTGTCACATTTCACTATTCAAGATCTTTGTTTCACGCACGACGTTGCCAGCACATAAAAAGAAAAAAAAGAATAAAAAGTGTAGCCTTGCTAAATACGCGGGTGAACGGCGTGCTTCTGGCATGCAGCAACAAAAAAAGTTACGAGGGATTATTGCGCAATATGATAAAAATAAATAAAGAGAAGTCCAAAAAACATAAAAGAAAGAAATATACTAGTCCAGACACACAATTGCCAAACTCGCCTCGGGCCCATTTTCTCGATCAAAAGAAGGCTCCTGTTTTCTCGCTTTATTTTTTGAAGATATCGAATATTCACTCCTGCAATGTAAGGGGAATCACAAGCTGCAACTTCGGGACGTCCAAAACAGTATTTTGGAACAGGTTCAATAGAGTGTTTCACGCTGCGTGACAACTCTGGGCGCCTCAGTGTGATTACCGAGTTATTTCCGAACCTGTTGGTTGTGACTTCGGGCCATTGCATTTCCTTCGTATTCTCGTGACACGTTCGAGACCGATCGCGTGACTGCTGGCTCTGGTTGTGAGGGTACCGATTTCAGTCTGGCTGGGAACGTGGTGTTTGGCTTTCCGGTGGGCGGGATGGGGGTAGGGGGTGTGCATGTCATGCTTGTTCCCAAATAGCCACGTGATGTGTGAACGGGACTTATTGTTGGGACAGCCATCAACGAGCTATTTTGAGAGGCCCGTAAAACGTACAGAAGGAAGTTTCATGCAAAAAAAAAAAGAGAGAGAGAGAGAGAAAGAGAGAGAGAAAGAGAGAGAGAAAGAGAGAGAGAAAGAGAGAGAGATAGAGAGATAGAGAGATAGAGCGAGAGAGAGAGAAGAGAGAGAGAGAGAGAGAGAGAGAGAGAGAGAGAGAGAGAGAGAGAGAGAGAATTGCCAGCTTGTTTTGCGTCAGTATTAGCCACGAATTTGTTGACTCATCAGAACTTTTCGCATCATGTTTCTTCCCAAAAAGAGAGAGAGAGAGTGAGAGTCATAGAATGAAAAAGAGGGGAAGAGAGAAAGAATAATTTGAAACTGACTGTGTTTAACCAGATTTCGTTATGTGGTTTACTACAGCGTGCTGGAGAGAGAACAAAGGAGATCAAAATAAACAGAAGAGGATAGCATATTATGATAAGACCTTTGAACAACAATCAGTTTATGAGTAGATCCTCTTTTTACTGCGACAGCAAGTCGCATGCCGTTCTGGCTTCTTGGGAATGCTTCGTGTATGAAGAAGAAATGGTAGAGGAGGAAAGGCAGGAAAGTTAACCAGTCAAGGGAGGCTGGTTTGCTACCTTACACGTGAAGATGGGAAAGGGGGAGGTCGAAAGATTGATTGATTGATTTGTGGAGTTTAACGTCCCAAAACCAAGATATGATTATGAGAGATGCCTTAGTGCAGGGCTTCAGAAATTTTGACGATTTATGGTTCTTGAGCTTGAAAGAGGGAGAGAAAAAAGGACGAAAGAGAGAGATAGATAGCACGTGACGGCACACACACGAACATTCTGCCACTTAAATGACCGCATGTTTGCTTCGTGTATGAAGCTTCTTGTGCGGGATGCGTGCCTCGGTGACACGTAATCGTGAAAAATTTTCGCTTCTGGTAACTGTCTTTAAATGTCGTTATTACTTCTTTTCATCGTGATCGTACTGTTAACGGACCTGCACGAAGAACTATCTGTACAGAACTACCTCTATTAGAAGTATTCGGTGTGTCGAGACCGAATTAAGTTAACTAAAACTAATTATTTTATTGAACAGGCTTTTGGAGCCGTGGAGGCCATGTCGGACCGGACCTGCATTCATTCTCCACCAGGAGGACGGAAGCGGGTAGTCCACCTTTCCGCTGATGATTTGCTGTCATGCTGCAAATTCTGTGGAAATGGGTAAGAGAATGGCGTCGTTTTGCACTACTCGCTATCTGCTATTACTATCTTTTCGTATTACCTTTTCCTGAGATTCATCGAAAACCAGGTTGTGTCAAAGAAACGAGCCCTCGAGAATTTCCTTGCTTTATTCATTTTTGAAGACGAGCTTACTGTATTCGTCTGGCGCTGTAGTTTGTTCAGCTTACAAAAAAAAAAAAAAAACTTGCCCGTCACCAGGTGAGCCTTGCTTCTTGTGTGCATCGAAAACTACCAAACAGTCGTGGTCTACAAGGAGCCACATTGTCGTTGCGTTAGCTATTGTTAAACATACTGTGGTGATTACACAAGAGACGCTTTCTGTATACAGGCTGTGCTAGAGGTAGATAACCAAAATAAAAAAAAAATGGTCCATTAATAAGTTCCAGCCGCTGTTTTCCTACAGTCGTCACAGCCGTCACAATCACCATCTTCACAGCACCAAGGTTTTCGTTATCATCAGGTAGCAGTTGTCAACTACCGTCATGTTTGATTAGAATCGTCATTGAGCATAGTCATCATCATCTTCATCAGCTCGACTACCTCTATCCACCATCCTCATCGTCGTTCACGGCTCCGTGTGACACGTAACACTATCATCATTGTAACCACCAACACCACCATCCTGTACGTCTCGGTGGATTAGTGACTAGGGTGCCCAGCTGCTGAATCTAAGGTCGGGGGTTAGATTCCGGCCGTGGTGGTCACATCGTTTTTCATAATCGTATCGTGGTTTTGGGACGTGAAACTCTTCATAAATCATCATCATCATCATCATCATCATCATCATCATCATCATCCACACCACTGTCTTCTATCACCGCTTCAGCGTTGTCATCATATTCATTGTCATCGAGACATGCAACGCCACGTTACAAATACAAACAGCACAGCGATCGAAGTACGCCGTATGCCTGTTCTCAATACACAAGCAGCTGGAGGCGATTTTAACGTAAATGGTTGGCAGCCTAACGAACGGCGCTGTTCCTTCAACCAGAAATAGCTTGTTTAGACAGCTCCAACAGCCAAGTTCTTCCAAGTTCACACGGCTTAGTCTAGTATCTCTTTTATAATGTCACGTTCGAGAGTTCGAGAAGTTGAGCCATCGCGGGACCACTTGCGTAACTCGATCTAATGAAGCCTCACTTAAAAAAAAAAGAGCGAGAAAAGGCCTTGGGGCAACATCCTCATCGCCACTTAAAAAGAGAAGGCCGCCAGTTTGATTTAAGGAAACCCAAACCGAGGCGACACGAGTTATCTCTTTCCTCGAAGGTAAAGTTACGACGCGCAATAAACGAAGAGGCAACGAAGCTTTCTTTTTTTTTTATCATTGGGATTTCAAACGTTAGAATGGCTCGGAAAGTTTTGTTGAATGCTCGCGACGAAATTTGCCAGGCAGCAGAATTGGAATCCAGAGCTCCATTGATCTACGTCCTTGCTGTTATAGACATTACTATTTCGTGCACACTTATGACACCCGCGAACGCCGATAACAACTAGTTATATGGAATACTTAAAGGCCACTCACCGGTTCCCAAAATACAAAAAAAAGAGCGCAATATTCTTTCCTGATATTTGTCGTCTTTCTTGGCGCACTACTGTGACGCAGACAGCAGTTCCTGTCACGTATTCAGCGTACATGCTCTCGATTCTTTGGAATACGCGAAATACCACACGTGATTTGTCTTCTTCACTGCTTTGCCATGCAGACGTCAATCCGTTTTTCTTTGTCTCGCATGAGTATCGTGCACAATCAACCGACCACACTTCATTTTTTGTATTTACAACTGCGCAAGCGGCGATAACAGCGTGCAGCCGAGAAGCGTGAAATTTTGATAGGCACTAGTGCTTAGTGCTGATATTGTTTACGTGCATTCAAGGACTAAAGGGTGAAGAGGGTGCCTCATGTGTACGAAGGAGAGGAGAAAATCACCCCCTCGTTTTTAAACGTGGGGTGGTGAGTGCTATTTTAACTTATACGAACTTAAGGTATTGGTTATATTGCCTAACTTGTTTGAATAGTGTCAAAATCATTGATGCCATCTCAAACACTGAAATTGATCGTTGTCATCAGCGTCTCGCGGCATCGATGGCAACGCAAGGGATGAAAATAAGTCATCTTTGCTTGGCGACGTCACCACATGATGTCATGATTACAATAAATAAATAAATAAATAAATAAATAAATAAATAAATAAATAAATAAATAAATAAATAAATAAATAAATAAATAAATAAATCATTTTATTCCCTTTTGATAAGGTGGAGTACAGGACTAAAAGCTCAAGAGCTTGACGAGGTCCTGACCCCGTTCAAAAGTTGACAAAGCAGCAGGAATGGCAGACAATCATGCACAACAAATATGAAATAAAATTATAGGTATAACATCACAAAAAAGTAATACAAGAAGTTTATGAAAACATTGCTAAAATAAAAAGGGAATAGTTCAAATGTATGGTCATGAAGTGGCATGAACATGAAAAAGCAATAATAAAAAGGAAAGAATGGGCATAAATTCTGAGAGATGTATCATTGAGGAAAATGTATCAGTTGGGCGAAGTGTTTAATCTGACAGTTTTGTTTAGAGGAGAGATCGAAATCTTCGTGGTTTAAAAAGTTTAACAAAGAAGGTAGTCTGTAGGACAATGATTGTTTGTCATAAAAAGTTCTTGGGGTGGGTACAGTCCAAACTTCTTTGTGCCTGGTGAGTCGAACACTTGTGTTTACGCGAAGTTTAGCAAGATTTATTGTGGTATTGGTACCATGTTTGACAAACTCTTTATAGCATAACATCAGCCCGTAATTGTACAAAAAAAAAACTGGAAGAATAACATATTTTAGAAAAAGACGTTTTGTGGAGGACAGATAGTGTTCAGCCGCAATATGTCGTACGGCCCTTTTCTGTAGTAAGTGCCATTTGCGCAAATTCGTCACACCGGTTGTGCACCACAATAAGCTACAGTAATGTAACAAAGATAATACCAGTGCATTGTATATCATAATTTTCACCTTAGTGGGAAGAAGAGATCGCATACGTGCAAGGACACCAATGGCCGATGACATTTTAGAGTATAGAATATCAACATGTACATTCCACGTAAGGTGTCGTGAAAAATATACATCAAGAATACTAACGGAATCAACCATGTCTAACTGCTGAGAGCCCAGAAGTAAGCTCATCTTATTTATCAAGGTTTTCCTTGAGGCGTATATAAAATGACTTACGTTTTCACACAAATGACTTCAAAAATTGCCAATTTTGTGGCATAATTATGAATTCATCATGGACGTCACTATGGCGTCGCACCACGTGCCGTTTCATGGTGACGTCATCGTACGTCATCATCGCTCGATCGAAGGAGGGCCAATCACGGTGGCTGTATACTTGCGCGGTGCAAAAAGCGTGGATGAAGGGAAGGAAGGAAGGAAAGAACTTTCTTTATTCAGAGTCCGGCGAGTAGATGGGGTGGGCGATTGGCCCCGCCTAGGTTACGGCCAGGAGTCCTTGAATCCTGGCGGCTTCCTCGGCCCGCTGGACGGCCCACATTTGGTCTTCGAGGACGGAACTGAGCATTGCGGCTTCCCAGCGCGCGCGAAGGCTGTCAGCAGAGGCCGCATACTTGTTATGAGTACTAATCCCTCTACATTCCCATAACATATGCTCCAGTGTGGCTCTGGAGTCGCAACGCTTGCACCTGTCCGTTTTGTATATATCAGGATATATAATGTGCGATAGTGCAGGATTTGGATATGTCCTAGTTTGTAACTGCCGCCATTCGACAGACTGTTTTTTTGTTAATTTTGGGTGAGGTGGCGGGAATATGCCCCTCTGTAATCTATAATGCTTTGTAATTTCATTGTATCTGGTCATTCTGTCTTCCCACTCCCACTCGTCTGCCACGCCGTAATCACCGGAGGAGGTTGGGGTGGCACTTGAGAGGGCAGCTCGGTCGGTGAGCCCTCGAGCTGCGTCATGTACAGCCCCATTGTTGCTGTCCCCCGCGATGGCATAAGCAGGTGTCCATATAATATATGTATTTCTGGGGCTTGTTCGACACCCTCCTTTGAGAATACGTAGTGCCTCCGGGGAGATGCGGCCGTTGGCAAAGTTTCTCACTGCCGTTTGAGAGTCACTGACTATCACGGTTGCGTTTGTCTGAGCTACAGCGAGCGCTATGGCTACCTCTTCCGCTGTCTCGGTACTTGTGGTGCGTATCGTCGCGCATGTCATACAGCGTTTGTTGCTATCGATTACGGCTGCGGTAAACCCCCGTTTGCGCTCGTATCGAGCAGCGTCTACGAAAACTGCGTCCTTGTCGTTACCGAACTTTTTTTGTATTTGTTTTGCTCTTGTCTTCTCTCGTCTAGCTTTATTGTGTTCGGGGTGCATGTTTTTTGGCAAGGGTGGTATCATCATTGTTTCCCTGGTCTCTTTTGGAATGTCCACCTTAACGCCGTGTTGCGTGTGATACGTTATACCTAGTCGCTCTAGAATATGTCTTCCTGCTCGTGTCTTAGAGAGACGCTCTTATTGCGCCGTACGCTGCGCCTCAATAAGCTCATCTATTGTATTGTGCAGGCCTAGCTGTAACAGTTTGTCGGTGCTTGCAAAAACAAAGGAGGGAGCGTGACCTCACGCAGCCAGCCTTAACAAGCCATGCCGTTTTTGAAGTCAGCATTGTTGGCCCAACACGCCCAGCCGCGGTGGTCCAGCGGCTAAGGTACTCGGCTGCTGAACCGCAGGTTGTGGGATCGAATCCCGGCGGCGGCGGCTGCATTTTCGATGGAGGCGGAGATGCTGTAGGCCCGTGTGCTCAGATTTGGGTGCACGTTAAAGAACCGCAGGTGGTCGAAATTTCCGGAGCCTTCCACTACGGTGTCTCTCATAATCAATGGTGGTTTTAGAACGTTAAACTCCACATACCAATCAATTCTTGTCCCAACACGTGAGCTTTGGCGTGAGATCACGCCAGCAACGAGAC